TTGTTGGAACAACCTTGTTCTTCTCAATCAGCACCGTGTTCAGTGTCAGCACACATTTCAACTGCAGAATCCTCAGGAACATTTCCTCCCTCCTCCCCTGTACCTGGTGTCACTACTGTAACAAATTCTACCCAAACTGCATTTAGTGTACTGGATAACACGCTTGAAATTCCGGTACGTGACAAATATAGACAGAGGATGGAAGAGGGCTATGACCTACCAGGAAGTCCAGTGTTTAGTGCTCGGAAGAAACTATACCTTCTACAATCAAATGATAATTTTCCACATATCATCACTTCACCGTTGTCACCAGAAGAAAAACATCAACCACACCCTTGACAGCACCACTAAGTATCAACATCCCCTCAAGTCAGCTGTTGTCATCAGAACGTGTTTCACCTGTCCTCAGTGAGATATTGGTGTACCCATCAGCAAGTGATAACTCGAACAAGCCTAAAAATAATAAAGTGAAACTCCCTAATTTTATGACAAGTGAAAGCTCAATGAAAATCTTACAAGATCAGAAATTAAAAAAGGCCAGGGAACTTGCTGAGAAACAGAAGCGATTGCGAGAAAGAGAAGAAAAGAGAGAAGCAAAAAAGAAAAATGACAATGAAAGGGAAAAGGAGAGAGAGGCAAGGAAGAAAGAGAGAGAGAAAATGAAAAATGAGAAAGGGGAAAAGAAGGCCAGGAGAGCAAGAAAAGGAAAGCCGAAGAAAAGGCAAAGAATTAATACTGGAGGGGGTGACATTAGCCTGGCAGTTAAAATACTACAGGTATTATATCAGCATATATTAAGGATCCTTATGTACTTTAATTTACATTTTCCTTCTAGATAGAATGGCTAAAATTGTGATTGAAAATGCTGTTATAAAAGGATACCATGTATTCCAGATTCGGCCTCCCCTCAATTTATCTCTTCCTGTTACAAAGGAATATGGCAACAAGCATGATCCAAGCGCATGCTTAGTGTGGGTGCCTGAGCTGCATTTTATACCAGAAGCAGTCTGGTATACAGTTACAGATGCAAAACGGGGTGAAACTGTTCAAACAATAGCTGGCCTTCCCATTGGACGAATACCTTGGGGTTTATCCAAGTGCTTCTCAGAGCTATTAAGTTCCTCTGACACCATTGCAATTGACTGGTAATTATTTTTCAAGTTAACTAGTTTTTTTAAATTTCAAGCCAGCAAGAGGGGGGGGGGTACTAATATTTCTTGTACTTTAATTAGTGAGATACAATTTCTTTCCAATTAATAGTATTAACTCCCAAAATCCTACCACTTTTAGTAAACAGACCGGGGAGCCATGCGAGAGCTTTCATCCATGGCCACCAGTTAATTCAACTGGAGGAGGAGCTGTCATACCCTGCAAATATGAAATATCAGCACAGGAGATGAACAATCAGCACGCGGTTGTATTGCGAATCAAGAATGCAATAGAAAAGATGCAGGAAAAATCTGTTTTAGTAATAAAAATAACTTGACACAGTTTCCAGTGTGTTCATCTGTGTTATATGCATTTAATGATCAACAATTTAGCAAAAAATGGCTTACCTGACAGTCATAATACCACATTTTATAACGTCCGAATAGTGGACAAGCTGTCCGAAAAGTAGACACGAAACAAGACAGATATTTTTAGCTTTTTAAACGGAAATAGAAAAGTACAGCGGTCTTCGTTTTAAGACTGGTAAACAGAAGTAAATGGCCGCCATATTCTGAAATTTCGTCTTTCTACAGCTTTTAAACGGTAAGTTATAACCGAAAAACACTTTACTGTCCGATAATTGGACAACAAACTGTAAATATATTTATATCAGCATTCTAATTTCGTTTATATTGTCGCGGCAAATTCAAATTTTATCGAACCACATGCTCGAATTTCACAAAAGAAGATTGGAGGTATTTCCTTTATAATTTGCTTTATTATAAATAAAATATAAACTTATTCTTACCTGGACATTATGCAAACATCCCTGATGTATTACTAGTGAAAATCCAGTTGTATCCCATCAAAAATAGTTCTATTTTGCACATAAACCATTGACAAACACTGACTTGAAAAAATATCGGAGGTGTGATGATCTATCCCTTGATGCTTTGCGCGCGTGGCAAGAAAACTAGACACCAGTCTGTCAGTCGCGCACATTACGGTAATTATTCATTTAATCTTAGAAAATAAATAGTCCCAGTATTAAATTCTCTATTAATAAATGTCTATGAGTAAAATACGATATAGGAATAGTGTAGTTGTATAAGAAATTAAAATTCCTATAAGAATTCTTATGGGATATGATAATGGTGAAAAAATTCCTATAAGAAATAGAAATTGCTGTAGGAAGGAGTTATTTCGTAAATTATATTTATCTGTATAATTTTTTATATAAGTAAAGTTCTTATACCCATGCATGTATCAGGCCATAGTGGTATAGGCTATGAATTTTCCCCACCATTTTCCAATCCTATAAGAATTCCTATAGGAATTTTTTTTTGCTATAGGATTTTTTTCATCATTTTCAAATCCTATAGGAATTTTCATTTCCTATAGGAATTCCTATAGCCATTTTCCAATCCTATAGGAATTCCTATAGGAATATTTTTTCCTATAGGAATTTTTTCACCATTTTCAATTCCTATAGGAATTCCTATAGGAATTTTCAATGCCAATAGGAATTCCTATAGGAAATTTCAATTCCTATAGGAATTCCTAGAGGAATTTTGATTGCCTATAGGAATTCCTATAGGAAATTTTAATTCCTATAGGAATTCCTATAGGAATTTTCAATGCCTATAGGAATTCCTATAGGAAATTTCAATTCCTATAGGAATTCCTATAGGAATTTTTTTGACCATTTTCAATTCCTATAGGAATTCCTATAGGAATTTTGATTTCCTATAGGAATTCCTATAGGAAATTTTCGTAAGGGAAGCCAAATTAAAATTTTAGTTATTGAAGCTAGAGAATTATTTGTATTTAAAAGTATAACCAATGGTGTTTACAAATATAATAGATGCCGTAAACATGGTTAATTTACATGTTTAATCATGTGTTTATTCACGTTTCCAGAACTACTTGAACATTGGGAAATTCGTAGTTTGCAACTGCAAGCAAACTAGTAGAGCAATCTGGAATTTAGGGCTGGTAAACACATTCGAAAGCAAATGCAAGCACAGTATGTATGCTATAAATAAGAGCTAGTTATATAGAAACCAAGTAATAATGGCTTATAAAACAACTATTTCAGATGCAACATAAGCATGTGTGCTATTTCTAGGCAAAGAGAAACAATATTCCTGCAGAGCGATTGCTAAAAAAGCAAAAATATTTAAATCGTCAGTCTCTCTTATTCTGACAGGAAAAGTTCAGTGCAAGCAAGATTTGAAAACATGCAAGAAAATTGGTAGATTGTCAGATAGAGATCAGAGAAAATTAATAAGAACAATAAAAACTTAAAGACCCAAATTTTAGATAAAGACCCAAATTTTACTGTTAAGCGCTTGGTTGCGCACAGTGGGTTGCTATCACATTATATTTCCGTTCGGACAGTTGATTGTGAGGTGAAAGCAGCATTTGATTATCTACCTGTACATAAAAAGGGGTTTTAACAAGTTGTGATTGCAAAAAAAGAAAGCCCGGATTCTTCTGGCGAAACATTGCCTTCTATTTAGACAGGGTTTCTTTTGTTTATAAGACACAACTCTTAGTGATGCTTTAGCCCCTAGAGGGTGTGTATGGAAAAGAAAGAGCGAGGGTTGACAATCGACTGCAAAAGGACCTAAAAACTTTGTGGGTGGAAAACAGCTTCACTTACTGGTCGCAATTTCTCACAACAATGGGGTTGTATTGGTAGAAGAATATGAGAAAATGACCGATATCTAATTTCGATGAGTTCATAAAAAAATTTCCAGAACTACTATCGTGCAAGCGTAGAAGAAAATGGTTCATAATTAGGCTTGGGCGGTTTACCGGTTTTTCGGGTTTTTTCGGTTTTATTTTCAAACCGTTTTTTTCGGTTTAGCTTTTACAAAAACCGGAAAACCGTCATTACGTAATTGTTTACTGTCATCGCCTGAAACTCGATCTTAATTCTCAAAACATGACACCAATTAAACTCAATTACGTGACACTAGATACAAATTCTATTCTTTTTCCATAAAGTCGGTAAGAACTGAAGAGGTATAAGTTTTCAAATGCGTTCTTGACCCTTTTATTTTAAAACTGAAGTCGTTTTAGCTTACCTTTGCACGATTTTGCGTTTTGTCATGTACTGTTTGTTTGCTTATGACAGAAAAATACCACAATTCCTCCTCATACAGTTGAAATACAAATTAAAGGGAAAAAACCGGTTTTTCGGTTTTACCGGTTTAGAATCAGACGGTTTTTCGGTTTTGATTTTAAGCAAAATCGCCCAAGCCTATTCATAATGGACAACGATCCATCTCAGCAAAGCCTAGCAGCTAAGATAGCTATAAAGGAAAGGGATGCGAGTTATTTTGTATCCCAGCGAGATCTCGACTTAACTCCAACAGAAAACATGTTTCACATTAGTTAAGAAGCAGCTTGATGCTCAAGTTAGAGACTCACAGATTGTATGTGAGACATGGGAACACTTTAAGACTAGAATTATAAAAAGTTTATATGTTTTTGTATATTAAATGGCATTTCATTGAATAAAATTGATTTTGCTGAATTAAGTTAACTGCATAATCAATTTCTTTGATATAAGTATAATAAGCTAAGAGAGAAAAACAGCAAGAATTGTTGGACTTAATTGCCTTTTCTACATAAAATGTGACTTGGATTTGTTGATGTGTCGCAAGCTAATTAGTTAGGGTCGGTTGTATAAAAACGTAGTTAGCGCTAACTGCAGTTAAATCCTTAACTGTAATTAGTTAACTACATGACTTATTAACTGTGTTGCACAAAACGTATTTAGTCGGATAGTGAACTAATCATGTAGTTAACTCCCTGGGGCATTTAAACACAAAACTAAGCAGTAACTTGAGAGACAGAGGTATAGATTCCCATAACTGAAAGCATAAAATTTGAATGTAAATTTACCATAATTAGTTCTAATCCTAGCTCTATAATAATTGTCTTGGGATGCATATCTTGTATAATGTGAATTAACACTAGATACAGGTTTAAAGAAATCTGAAAATAAATCTGGTGTATCATTATCTTTGTTTCGTATTTGACTTAAAAGAATATTGTAATTTTTAGTTTAACTAAATTTTCCAACTTCAAAATCCCAAGTAATTTGAAATATGGATTAAGATCCTCTTGTAAACTTGCAAAGAAAATACATCTGATACATTTGTTAAGTTTTGTTGATAATTGGTTAAGATTAGTTTTGTACGTAGTCCCCCAGCTCATCAGACCATAGATCAAGTACAGATATTTAATCAAGTACTCCTCAGACAGTTTACACTATACCAGGAGATATATAAATATAGCTAACTATTAACAATAATACGGTAATATTAAGTATGTGCTTACTATAGTAAAAAGATATAGATTACGATCTCACAAAAGCAATTGTCTCTATGATTATTCCACACAGATACCCTGAACACATCAAGTTCCTTTTGTACCACAGGAATATAGATATATGCTAGCATGTTTCTGCAAATTAACAGGGTTTCAGTGATAAGTAATTTGCTTTAGTCAAGTGAATGCTAATTCAACGATTGTGTGTCCTACAATCATATTTCGATCAATACAGAGTTCAAATTAGTCCAGAAATACACACACACACACACACACACACACACACACACACACACACACACACACAATGGAATCATCTTGGACTTAGTTGAATTTGTAATGACATGAAGGGGTGGTGCTGTAGTGCACATACATGTGTGTATG